GGGGCGAAGTGGGGCTGAATTTTTCTGTGATGGAGACAACAGTATCACCACTTTCCAATTCCATCTGGTATCAAATGGAAAGTAGCTCAGGAGGAGACATGGGCGTAGCCAAGGGGGAGGCAGGGAGGGGCAGCTGCCCCCCCCAAATAAAGATCAATAAAAATACATAGCAAACTGAGGTTCTCCCTCACAAAAATCCTGGCTGCACCCATGGGAAGGAGCATCACAGCTCAACAGAACAGTACATGTACATATCCCAAGTTTTATCCCTGGCACCTCTACAAACACCTGCAAAATAGCCACTGCTGAAACCCTGGAGAGTAGCTGCCAGTCCGTGTAGGCAATACTGAGCTAGATGGCCCAACAGCCTGACTGTGTATAAGGCAGCTTTCCATGTGCCTAACACTACTGGGTCAATCAAAACTTTGGATAGATATTATAACTGTTCTTGTCTGTTGTGCTATCTAGTGTTGATCTAAACCAGTGAAAGAAGTGTGACCTGCCAATTTGACTTTTATTTGGCCTTTGACTCATTTTTGTGTGTGTATGTCTTCCTCTCCCTTCTGCTGCCCCTTTCTCGCTTTTAAAGGACCCAAAAGTGTGCTGAAGTCAGTCTCCTCCTTCACCCAGTCAGGTCTCTTCACTTCCATTGCCAGGTGCTGGTCAAGAGCAAAGAAGCCACCTAGTCCAGCAGTTCTGTTTGCAACAATGGCCAGTCAGAAGCGTCTGGTAAGCAGGTCATGAAGGAAGCAGCCCTTTACTACTGTTTGTCCCAGCAACTCATATTTAATTAAAATCTCCAGGCCCTGAGGCAGTATGTCTTCATGTTGATAGAAATGGACAGAGAGCATTTGAGAAAATTAAAATGCAGGCATGTCTTAGGGAGGTTTCCATGACTGCATGAGCAAGAAACCAGAGTTACTTAAGGTAAATATAAACATTTTATGGAGCATGAGTTGGAGAATTTGCATGACTTGGCATCTCTTTGTTAATTTTTTGAATGCCTATTACAAATGTGTATGCGGGTAGCTCAATTCTGTTATCATTCATTGGTTGTATGCTTTGTATTGTATTTTCAACTGATGAAGACTATCACGAAACAGTAGTATCATTCCGGAAACACTGTCCTTGAGACTTTTGGGACGTCTTCCGTTGAAACTTTTGAAAAACTATTGAGAAAACTTTACTTTTTAGACTTTTGAGACGTCTTCTGTTGAAACCTTTGAATAACCACTGTGAGACTGACCTTTGATGCCCATCTTGAACACATGTTCTGCACCACTAGTCTCTAATAGATTTACTTCTACTTTTTGAATGATGTAATTATTCTATTATATATGCTTGAACAGTTATTAGCCTACGTGTTGTGTCTATATTTCTGTGACTGGTTCTCATTGCAACACAGGGGTTTGTTTTTATTACAAATGGGAGGCAGCACAATTCTGAGCTCCCCAACCCTCCATGTACACAGGAGCAGAGGACATCAGTGTGGCGGGCAAAGAAGCAGAGGAGAAGGAAGGAAAGAAAAAAAGGATTTCCCATGGAAAAAACCTCTGCTGGGAACTGAACAACATATCAGAACATAAGAAGAGCTGTGGATCAGTCCAATGACCCGTCTAGACCAGCATCCTACTCTCACAGTGGATAAACAGATGCATGTAACAAGCAGGATTTGAACAGAACAGCAACTCTCCCCTCCCCTCTTTTCAGCAACTGGTATTCAGAAGCATTGCTGCCTCCAGCTGTGGAGCCAGAGCATAGCCATCAAAGCTAGTAGGCATTGATAGCCCTACGGGAATTTGTCCAATCCCCTTTTAAAGCCGTCTAGGTCAGTGGCCATCACTGCATCCCGTAGCAGCAACTTCTGTGGTTTAACAATGTGATGCACGAAGAAGTACTTTATTTTATGTGTCCTGATTCTTCCAGCATTCAGTTTCGTTCCAGTGTTATGAGAGAAGGAGAAAAACTTATCTCTAGCCACTTTCTCCAAACCATGCATCCTTTGATGAATTTCTTTCACAGGCTTCCTCAAACTCGGCCCTCCAGATGTTTTGAGACTACAATTCCCACCATCCCTGACCACTGGTCCTGCTAGCTAGGGATCATGGGAGTTGTAGGCCAAAAACATCTGGAGGGCCAAGGTTGAGGAAGCCTGCTCTATCATGCCACCTCTTAATTATCCCTTTCCTAATGATCCCTAGCATGGAATTTGAATTTATTTATTTTTTACAGCTGCTGTACACTGGGTCATCATCTTCACTGAGCTATTTACTAGGACTCCAAGGTCTTGTTCTGGGTCCATCACCACCATTTCAGACCCCTTGAATGTATATGCGAAATTAAAACTTTTTTTTGTCCTCTTTGTGTCCTTAACACTACATAATTGCCTGTGAATAGCTGAAGTATCATCTTCTTAAGTTAGAATCCCCCCCCCCCCCAGTTAACATTGTTGTGCAAGGTCTCAAATCTGAATGTGTGGGCACATCCTATCCCTTGCACATATTCATGTACATTCATGCACATGAACACTAAGGCATCTTGTGGTGCTCTACCTGGCATTTCACACACTGCAGCTGCCAATGTATATTTTGAATAGTTGCTAATGCATTGTAGGACCAGTAAGTTTTCTGCTATATTGTTATGGATTGGCCAGATGCAGAGGAGTGGTGGGAGGCAGACCTGCCTTAACTCAATAGCTGCCTGCACTAAAAGAGAGTCAGTGTGGTCTAGTGGTCTGAGTATCGAACTAGGACCCAGGAGACCAGAGTTCAAATCCCCACTCAGCCGTCATGAAGTTCACTGGGTCAGTTTGGGCCAGTCACTGTCCCTCAGCTTAGCCTACCTCACAGGATTGTTGTGGGGATTAAATGAGATGGGGAGAACCATGTGCACCACCTTGAGCTCTTTGGGGGAAAGGAGGCTATAAGTGCAATAAATAAATGGAAATGCAAATTAAAGGCAGTGGTGCCATCCAGGCAAGATTTGTGGGTTAGAAATCCACTCAGCAAAATAAGCAGAAGGGCCCCAAACACAGCAGTGCCTATTTTGAAGTAAGCAAAGTACTATTTCTGACCATCTAAAAATGGGGAGAAGATCCCAAGATCATTAAGTCCAGGGCCTAAAATGGCCTAACTGCACCACTGATTAAAGGCCCTGACAGCGCAAACAGTGATATTTAACAATACCATGTACAGTAATAAAACTGCCAGCACATTTGCAAAGCTAAGGAGAGTCTTGGATGGTTTCAAATTGGATGGGGGACCACATGTTGAGATAGGAGTATTGGACTAGATGACCCTCAAGTTCTATGATTTTATTATTCTAATGGCCTAAGTAGATGGGACAACAGAGATCTGTCACTGAACTTCCTGTCTCTTTAAATTTTAGGAAACAGCTGTTTGGTGGGGCCAAGGAAAGCAGATTCAGATCAGGACCATGACTCCAGGGAATAGCAGGGGTAAGTTATTTCCCCAATGAAACTCCCCTACCTCAAGGCTGCTCTTTGTCCCACCAGGAGAAACTCTCATATACTTAGACAAAGTGGGGAAGCAATTTTCATTGGGAAAATATCACTGGAGGGAAGGAATACGCCCCCCCCCCCCCCCGGTTTGTGATCCCATAAACAAATTGAGGGTTTGACTTCAGTGGCTGTTTCCTAAACTGTAAAAAACTGAGAGGTCCAGATTAAGTGTCCCCATTACCTTGTCCAGTTAGGCCCTAATTCTGCATAGCACCAACAGAATTACCTACTCTGCATCACAGTCAGTTGTTATAATTCAAAACAGGAAATGACTGCAAGATTACACCTTATTCTGAAGGCCAGACTTCCATGGCTATTGGTATAGTCTGAGGAGAAGCCAAGCGGTTCCACTATCTACACTGTGCAGTGCAGACAGAAACACAGGTCGCATTTTGCTTGGTGATCAAGCCCTAAGTAATAGCGTTCATGTGACTAAGGAGAAAACCCCCAATGCCCTGCATTGGATTGCACCATAGCTAGTACAGTACTAGTCTGGAAATGGACACTGTACCTTTCAGCTCTCCCTCTCTCTGTAAGACATGACATGTCTGAACAAATCCTAGCTGCTGCCTCAAGGCTAGAAATTGCATAGGCCATTGATTTTCCAGGGGACCCCAGGCTTGACCTGAATGTGTTCAGGACTAACTCAGGAAGAATAACAACTGCAATATCACACAACCACCCCTAGAAGACAGTGTGTCCAGTCTTACCAACTTTGACTTGCATCATGGCAGGAGACTTGGGTGGCCTTGTGTCCCACTTAACAGAATGCTAGCTGGTCCAAGTCAAGCTTCATGATGAAGAACTGTAAGAAGAGGCGAGCAGATACCCTAAGGCTGCCCATCGGCAGGTGGGCATCAGACTAGGTAGGCATAAAGGTAACCTGGACACAGCCTTCTCTGCTATGGTGAGATGTGCTGCATTTCTGCTCAAATTAGCATAATTATTTCTACATTTGCAGCTATTGAATTTGGAATTATTTTTTTGCAAATCTGGGTGGTGGCAATAGTTGTTTTGTCCTCTTTTGAGGGGGGATTCATTTCCTCTTTTTCACCTGTAAGTGACCACCCTAGTCAGGTCACCAAGCATTCACTCAGGCTACACAAGGTGACTGGGAGACCAGCATGCTGAGCTACTGACTGTGCTTTCTAAAACTACACACATACCATCCTCTGCAGAGATCCTGTGGGTGACACTCATGGGTCCCACAGCAAACAAGCCAAGGTAGAACACATTCCCTGTACGTAACCAGCTTAAAAACCACCAGCCCAGCTCATATGGGCCATTGTCTTGGTACTAGATGCATTTGTAGGAATATTCTGAAAGGGAGGGTGAGAGCAAAAAAGCAAACTCCTTCCCAGTTAATCTTGGCCCTCGGCTGTGTCCCACCTGCCCCCAGATTGTGTGTGCCTAACCTTAATCATGTGTGGAATTGAACGAGGCTTGCACCTGCACTCCTTGGCTTATCCAACAAACGGTTACGCATGTGTGGTCCCTTTCAATTGCATGTAAGCATCTTCAGTGATGAGGCTCTGGTCCTCTCCAGCTCTGGATAGACTTTGTAACAAAAGGGTTTCTGAAACAGGCCAGGAAAATTGCAAGAAGCTGCCGCAGCCCTCAAACTTTTTTTTCTCTCTCGCTCCATTTTATTTACTTAAACTGTACACAAATGTAAAATACTCTGACAGCAAAATCTAAGTGAAAGTTGTTTTGTATTTAAATTATTATGGAACAGAACCTATAAGGGACTTTATTAAATAAACAACAACTGGGGTTTTCTTTCTTTCTTCTTCTTCTTTTTTAAAGGATGCACATCTCGTCTGCTATGTGTTGTTGGTATAGAAAAGACACTGACCCAAATGTCACAGAATCAATTTTGTACCCTGAAAAAAAATTGGTAGGCCTCACAGCAGAGTATTCAGTATCATTACATGATATATAGATATATGATGACCTTGCCATCTGATAAAAATTACAATTAATATGTTGGCCTCTTTGGTTCCAAAATCTTATGTATAATACATTTCACTGTGTTCATCATCATCATCATTATTATTGCTGCTATAAAAATAACCTTTTTTCTTCTTCAAATGGCAGTTTTCTCTTGACTAAGTCGTGCAACTACATCAGTGCAAACATGAAAAGCGATCATTCGCTTTTAAAAAAAAAGAAGCAAAAGATTTAATTTCAAGTATAAAAAAAATATTAAAAAGTCATCTCATTTCAGTCCAGTTTTGTCTAGTACGGGTCAACACTTTTTAAAAAATTGCATAGCTCATGCGGCACTTGTTTTTAACCTAGAGATAAGTGAGCAAAGAGAAGTGCACCATCAAGTCCCAACCATTCAAGGGATTGAAATCTGCAAGTGCTATAATAATGTGCATTCAAGCAGTTTGCGAGTGCTATGCTGTAGCATGGGGGTGGGGTTTGAGCTCTGCAGCCATCCTTGACATATTCTAGGAAGGGGTTTTTTTAAATTAAAAAACCCCTCTCCCCACTCTCGTCCCCCCCCCCATCCACAAGTCTTCTCCAATGTTCCTCAACCGTTACAAAACGCCTTGCATTTCCACACCCGCATACACTCCCTCAAAATGTATCCACTGTGTGGCTATAAATCATCACCACCACCATCCGTTTCCTCTTCTCCCTGTTACTCCTCCCCAGCCGCTCCAAGCCTGCTCTTGCTGATTCCCCTGACGCGGGACACAAGCTGCAACTTTTGATGTCACCGATGTTCTGAGAAGGTGAAGACTGTTGAGATGAATAGCGAACAAAAAATGGGGACAGGATGGACCCAAGCCCTTTTTGAGATGATGCGGCCAGGATACCGATCCCACGTGGGGTGAGGATGGGAGTATCTCATAGCCCGTTAAAAGCATGAAATCATGCCAACATACCATTCAGAAGAATACAGCAACTGTGATTATATTAAGCTCATGGTACTTGCTTAAGTATATTTCTCTCGTAGCAATATTCTACTCTGGAAGTGCTATAGGCCATTTGTGATTTCTTTAAAAATATATATATATACACATTATGTTTAACCTCAAGAGGAAGGGCTCATCATGCTGTAAATCAGGTAGCCTGCTACTCCTTCCCTTTTTTTTAGACCTTAGAGGTGAAGGTTGGTCGTTTGGTCACTTAAATACCTGCGTATGCGAATATATTAGACTGTTTTCTCTTTTTTGTGCTTCCCTGTGGTTTCATTCTAAACACATGGCTGGCTGGCTGACAGATGAAATGGCTATCGGCCCACTGTATTGTTTTTTAATCACTGGCAGACATTTAACTCCCTTTCTTTTCTTTGTTTAAACTTGCTTCTGTCCTCCAATCTGCATCATGCAACTGTGTGTGTTTGTGTGTATCGCTCTCTCTCTCTCTGTGTGTGTGTGTGCTTTGTGTCCTTGGGTGTGTGGGTGGGATTAAGGTACTTCATAGCATTAGTCTATAAGTGGTAGCATAGTTTAGTGTCCGAGAACCATGAACTGCCACGGCCCTGACAACAGAGTGAAACAATACACATATCTTTGCTGCTGTTGTAATCTCTGCTCCTTGCCGCTGTTGCCTCTCTGCAGTGATTTTATATATATATATATATATTAAACATCCATGCCTGGAAGAATATGCAGCAAAAACCACCCTTCTAATTCCATTTCTGTATGGGAATGTCCTAGACCTCCTGTCCCTTGTCAAACACACCCCTTCCCCAAATCAGGCGCAACCACATTCTTCCACAATCATATTGGGAACGTCCCTCTTCACGATGTTGTATTCGTCATCAAAGTACAGCATGGATATCGAGCTAAGTTTGGTCGGGATGCAACAGGAGTTCACAGTGCCTGGGTTCAGCCCTCGCATGCGGTACTGATTCACCACTGCGGTGTGAAAAGAGGAAGCTGAGCCCGGGACGCCAGCCAAATAGGCCGGGCAGCTCCCTTCACAGTAATTCCCATTGTAACCATGTGGCGCTATGATCCAGTCATTCCATCCAATGAGTCTAAAGTCAATGAAAAACTGTTGCCTGCAACATAAATTGGTCCTGCCATCACACTCCAGGCCTCTTTTCCGGATTCTGTGCTTGTTGTCAGCCAAGCGGGCTTGCACCACTAAAAAAGGCCGGTGAGACTCGTCCCCGGGGTCCACATAAATTGGCAGCACTGAATACTCTTCGCAGCCTTCGCACTGAACATCCAAGTTCAGTCTTCTTTCCCCTTTCTCAAACAGAGCCTGGATTGGTTCTGTCATGGGAAATGTGTGCCAGCCACTTCTTTTGAGATCAACTTTCTTTTCAACCACATTCCACTTGCTGCTAGTGTCCGGGTCTTGGAAATACACTTTGACTCTTACTTTCCGCCGGCTGCCTTTCTCCAAGACATATGGAAGCAGCTTCAAGTAAAGCCACAGGTTGGCTTGAACCACAAACAAGTTCCGATTCCCTTCGTTGGAAATGAAGAAATAGAGGCGCACTCGAGAGGAAGCCAGGTCATCTAAGATGCAAGGGGAAGAAATGCCGTTAAGTTCAAAAAGGTGTGCTGATTTGCTTTGCTTTTAAAGGAAATATCCGCAGCAAATTACTATATGCCAAAAAAGGTAATAATAATGTAAATAAATAAAATGACCAAAGGTAAATGGATAAGTGTAAATTGCAAAGTGAGCTTGGCGGCTGAGTCAGTATTTATAAACCCATTGCTAAGTGAGTTCCCAGAGAGAAACTAATCAGGCTATAGGTGAAAAAAATACCAGATCCTTAGAAATCAGCAATTAAGGTCAGAGAGATTGAGAGCCATGAAAGGAACTCTGTGAGCACCTGGATAAGTGCTAATTAGTGGCGTGTTTTTTTAAGTGTTGGCCTGGCTAACAATCAGAGAACATTTTGCAGAGAAAGGATTTGGTTACAATTTAGATGTGCTGTAATCTCACCCAGCAGCCCCATGATCCTTGGGAAATATTGGCTCTTAACTAGTCCAGTTAACTAAGGCCACCTTCTTACTGAAGTATAAATCAGTGTCTATCTGGACTGCCCAGTACTGAACTGCAGGTGGAGACATGCTATACCATACAAACATACTTCATGAACATACATAACTAGGTGTCAGGGGACAGGTTCTAGGCACCCACCACCAGCTAGCAGCAGCCAGAAAGTTGACATGCAATGCCATCCATGGACTGGCAGGCAAATAGGTGCTGCCTGAGGGAAGATGGAGGCTATTGGTGCAGTGCCCCATTCAACTAATGGGTCAGCCTCTACTGCTCCTGGAAAAGTTAATGTTGTGTGTGTGTGTGTGTGTGTGTGTGTTTGTGTGTGTGTGTTTACCACAGGTACCAAGCGTACACCCCAAGCATAATGACTTATTACAAATCCCACTAATATTGCTCAGTGAGCTAAGCAATGCTGACTTGTGCCCAGTATCTCTTCATGGAAGAAATAACTCAGTAGAGCATGAGACTCTTAATCTCAGGGTTGTGGGTTCAAGCCCCACATGGGGTGAAATATTCCTGCATTGCAAGGAATTGGACTAGATGACACTCACGGTCCCTTCCAATTCTATAATTCTATGAAAAGTCAAAAAACAAATGCTACAGCATTTGGTTGCTACCTTCTCATTTGTACTTTTATTTTTTATAATATGAACAATAAATGGGAGGAGCTGTCAAACATGTCACTGACATCTCTTAACCTAAACCTTTCTGACCCCTGTGGTTATAATCCTATGCACACTTACCTAGGAAAGTGCCATTGAACTCAGCAGGACTGATTTCTAAATAGGCATGCACAGGATTGGTCCAATCATGGCTTCACCCAATATTCTTCATTCAACTCCATTTCATCCAGTATACTGTACCAGAAATAGAAACCTCAGCACTGCCATTGTCATCTAGAACTACTGAATCCTTGTTACAGTGCCATTTAAATCTGGCCCAAAAGGGAAGGCACAATTAGCTGGGTGGTTGAGCTTTGCGTACAGAAGATCTCAGGTCCAGTCCTCAGCATCTCCAGGTGGGGCTGGGAATGTCCCCTGCATGAAGCTCTAGACAGCCACTGCCAGTATCAACAATAGTGAGTTAATAGTCTGACTCAGTGTAAGACAGCTTCAGCTGCTCCTAATCACTGAGTTCTTGTGATCTTCTCATAGTACTTTATCATTTCAAATGAGCATTTATTCTTATCATGTGCTTTCTGGGACCCTGGCAGAAAGAACACCTTGTACACCATATGAATTATTGTATGTGTCTCAGCGCCACACCACTGGGCTTCCTACACCCTAAAGCAGGGATAGGGAACTAGTGACCTTTCAGGTGTTGTTGGACTCTAACTCCCATCTTCTCGGACTCCTGGCCACGCTGGCTGGAGCAGCTGGGAGTTGGAGCTGAACAGCCTCTGGAAAGCCACCTCCCTTGTCCTCTAGGCATCCAAAGCATAGCTCTTGACCTGCATGCAGCTTGGAAACTTGTAAATATAGTAAGCAAGTAATGGACAAGCAAAACACACAAACCAAGTATTTTTGATGGTGATAAAGAGAAAGTAATAAATGAAGTGAAAGAGGGAGAAAGAGAACTAATGGGTTTAATAGAGCCATCCACCGTCCACCTATCTATTCTTGCAGCACGTCTCTTCATCCATTCAGCTATCCTCTCCCCTGAACCTGCAGCTCTTACAGCGGTTTTTGGACTTTCTACCTTAATGGAACCTGTCCCATGTCACGTGGTCTGCTGAAAAGATTCCTGGCTATCTGCCATAGATTCCTAGCACGTGGAAATAAATTTAGGGGCACATGCCTTGCAAAAACTCAGCCCGTGTGGGCACAGTTAGGGATGGGGAATCAGTGACCCTCCTGATGCTGTTTGATACCAACTCTCATCAGATGGGTCATAAAGGATAGAACTTCTGGACCAACTAAGCTTTCCCAGCCCAGCCCTAGACAAACTGAGAATGTAGCTTTAAACACTGTGGCTGCATTCTGTGAGGAATGAAAGCTTGTTCACCACTGCTGAACTTCACTGATAATTCCCTAATAAGCTTCCAATGAACCCTCAGGTTATACTGTAAAAACAGTTCGAAAATGACAATCTGTTGTATGCATTGGTGGAGAAGCTTAGAGGTAGACAGAGAGAAACTAAAGCATTCTGGTAGACCAGCTAACAAGCTGTAGTACCTAACTGAAGAAGCATACATTAAAAAGAAAATCTACACTTCTGTAGTTAGGGATACCAAAGGAGATATGGTATAGGGTAGGTTACTGAGCAAGAGCATCTTGCTCAAGTTGATAGGATGGGTGGATAAAGAAGATGGAGAGCAGATACTTATGACATTTTAGATAGATGAGTGAAAATCAGCCTGCGAATGATGAAATGACTGTTTCAGAATCAAACTTAGATTGACTAAACCAGGAATGGTGGATGGATGGAGGCAATGCTGTAAAGACTAGCTTACCATTAAAGAACCATGGAGAGGCATAGTACCAAAAGTAGCAAAATGGATGTTACAAGAAATTGAGATTAAGTTGAACAGATATTGTTGATGAATGGGTCATATGTGGCAATTATAGTGCATGGGCAAATACAACAGGGGTGACTGTATACAGTAGATTTGTGGGAAATAAATAAATGGGCTGGTTCAGTACCAATTCACTACTATGCATGGTTTGAAAATGTGTGTGAATGGATGAGTGTGGAATAAGGAATTAGAAAACAATAAAGAGGTATGTGATAGGTTTAAGGATAGATGGGTGCATATAAAACTCAACATGATATATAGTGGATGGATGGATGGATGGGATCACCAAGTGGGTACTGTATGCAAGATCATAAGATTTAGAATACATGGAGAGTGTAGGTCAACAAAGGGGATTAGATGACATGGGTTGGACAGGTATGTGCAGCAGAGGATTTGAATGGCAAGGAGGAAGAGAAGAATATACCTGAGGTTGAATGAGATGAGGAAGGAGGTGACTGAATGAGTGGGATGTTAGTAGAAAGGTAAATAGGTGGGTGTACTGAATAGGCATATAAAATGATGCCTATGTGTGACAGGTACCTGACTGGCATAGACAGTGGAGTATAGGGGATGAATCCATGGGTGAGTTAGGAGGATGGATGGATGCAAAAAGGTATGAGGATGGATTACTGGATGAAGAGAAGAAGTCACACAATGTTAGGGATGGAAGGGTAACTATCCCATAGGACACTAGAAAATGGAGTGTGTGGGTAAGGAACAGATAAGGAGGCGGATAAGAAGAGATGGGTGGCATGAGAGATAGTGAATGGGTCGTGGGAAGGATATACCCATGTGAGTATAGGAGAGGTGCCTGAGAGTACCCTACATGGAAGTATAAGTCTGGGGAAGGAGAGGCTCTTCTTAGCTGGATGGGTGAATGAGCTGGCACAGTAGATGTGCTGGAATAAGGACCAGTAAAGTGAAGGAGAGCACAGAGTGTAGCAGCTAATGCAGATGAATAAACAAGGTAAGTGAGAGGGATGCGCTCCTGGTCTAGAAGGGTGATGTACACCAAAGAGACAATGACTAGATCTACATGACAAGCTAACAAATGAAGGGATGAAGGCAAGAATGAGATTTACATAAAAACCAGTGAGGCAGGAATCTGGCCTGCAGGGCAAATAAATTAATGGGGTGCTAGTGAGCTAACAAAGCAGAGACATCACCTTGCCAACAAAGGTCCGTATAGTTAAAGCCATGGTTTTCCCAGTAGTGATGTATGGAAGTGAGAGCTGGACCATAAAGTAGGCTGATCTCCGAAGAATTGATGCTTTTGAATTATGGTGCTGGAGGAGACTCTTGAGAGTCCCATGGACTGCAAGAAGATCAAACCTATCCATTCTTAAGGAAATCAGCCCTGAGTGCTCACTGGAAGGACGGATCCTGTAGCTGAGGCTCCAGTACTTTGGCCACCTCATGAGAAGAAAAGACTCCTTGGGAAAGACCCTGATGTTGGGAAAGATTGAGGGCACAAGGAGAAGGGGACGACAGAGGACGAGATGGTTGGACAGTGTTCTCGAATCTACCAGCATGAGTTTGACCAAACTGCGGGAGGCAGTGGAAGACAGGAGTGCCTGGCGTGCTCTGGTCCATGGGGTCACGAAGAGTCGGACACGACTAAACGACTAAACAACAACAAGTGAGCTAACAGAAAGTAATCGGCAAAAGAAGGAAAACGGATAGGACAGGATAGATTGGGCGGGTAGACAGTGCTGGATTGGACAAACTGCGTCCAAAACAGAAATGTTTAACTTCAAGGCTGCAAGGTGCGGGGACATGTGCCTGGGTGGGAGGCCGAGAAGGGTTTGCTGGAGGTCAAGAAACTGCTGGGGGTGGAAGACTGGATGCTTAGGGCATACAGACCGAGGAGGGTAGGTGATGGGCGCGGAGGGCAAAGAGGTCAAAGCGGGCTAGGTCGACGCGCGGCAGGCCCACCTGTCTCGGCGAAGCTGATGATCTCGGAGAGCTGCTCGTGCGCCGCGGGGCCGCCGCTCGCCTGGCCGTCCAGGCTGGGGATCTCGACGCGGCCGTCGTCGCGCACCTTCCCGGCGTGCAGCTTGCGCAGCGCCGTGACCATGGCCGCCTTGGGCACGGCGTGGGTGATGTTGGGCCGCTCTCGCATCTGTAGGCGGCTCAGGATGTGCCGCTTGACGGCCTCCAGGAAATCGCCGTCCACGGCCCCGCGCTCCTCGGGAGGCCGCCGGAAGCCGCACGAGGTGCAAGTGTCCTGCTGCGGGGCGGCTCCGGGAGGGGTCGGCGAGGCACCGGCGCCCAGCACCAGCCAGCAGGCGGCCAGCAGCAGGAGCAGCAGCAGCGCGGCCAGGGCCCCCCTCCGAGCCGCCCCGTCCATGCCGAGCTCCAGGCAGGTCCGGCGCGGCGATCCGAGCCGGCGAGCGCCCGAGAGGGGTGCGCGGAGCTCAAGGGGGCGCTATGTTGGGGAGGACAGGGGGAGGCCGGCGAGCCGGATCCGGGCGTCCCCCTCGGCTGGCCAGCCAGGGAGCAGGTCGGCGGGAGGCAAGGCGGCAAGTTGGTTGCCGGTCCGCCGAGAGCGGCAGGGCGGGGGGCGGGCGGAGAGGGTGCGATCCCGGAGAGCCCGAGTCCCCCGGCGGCCTCCCGGCGGTCAGTTACCAGCGGGCATCTCCGAAGGCGACAGCTCCTGCTTCATGGTTTCAGTTTGTTCGCCTCCAGCTCGCGCAGAGTCCAGCCAAAAAGGAAAAAGAGGGGTGGGGGGAGTGCGGACACCGGGGGTGGGTGGGGAGGAGGGCGATCTGTCTTAGTCCAGAGTCATCGGAAGGCCAGAGGGGAGGGGGGAGGGGTGGCGCGGAGGATCAACTGGGCAGCTTGAGAGAGTCAATCCAATTTATCGCGGCGAGCTGGGCGCACTCCCGGCAGCGGTGCCTCCCTCTGTTCCCTTTGCCACAAGGCTGGGGGGGGGGGGGGAGAGAAGGGGAAGCGAGCCAACTCTCGTCCGCGCGAAGCAAGCGGTCCCTCGTTGCGCTCCGCGGCCGCGTCTCCTTCGGCGCGGGTAGCGCGCGCCCTGCCTAGCTCGCTCGCTCGCTCTCCCTTCCGCGCCCGCCGCAGCCGCCTCGGTTCGCCCGCCTCTGGCAAAGCGAAGTTAACCTGAAAGCCAAGAGCGGGCAGCGCGCAGGAGGAGGAGGGGAGGGGAAGGCGGCGGCGCGCGCGCGGGGGGGGGGGACACTCAGTCCGATCCACAAAGGCGGGTACTCCCTCTCCCCCACACTTTCCCCTCTTTTGCGGGAGGGGGGTCAAGTAGGGGCTCCAGCCCAGCCGATGGGGGCCCTTTCTGGAGATCCCGCGATCATGCAGCTGTCCACATTAAAACAGTTAAATAAAAAAACATGCAAGTAGTAATGGTAGTAGTAGTGTTTAAAGCCCCGGAAGAAAGCGGGCAAGAAAAGCTCCAGAAGCGACTGGAAATCGAAGTCAGCAGGTCCTGCTTCAAAGTAGCCGTCTGTTCAGGCTTTCCTTCGCATTCAGCAAATCCCGCCCTTCTTGTTATTTGGCACTGGGCTTCTCGTGAGTAAAAAGGCAGACCCACCGCGCTGCCTTCCTGCCGCTGTTGATCTTTGCCTGTGCCTTCTTGTGTTTTATTCTCTCTCTCTCTCCAGCTCCTGAACCTGACGTTCCGCCTCCGATCGCCAAGTGGAAGGTCTCGGTTGGAGAAGCGCCTTGTTCTCCCTCGCTTATCTGCCTCTAATCTCCTGGCGACGGGTTTAACCCCCCCTCTTCTTTCTTTCTTTTTCTTTTCTTTTCTTTCTTTCTTTTTGACCTGCCAAATCACAACATTGGGCCACTTTTCTACAGAAACTTTTATACAGAAGTTAAAACCACGTGGGATCTCCAACCTATAACAGACTAGGCGCCACAGGCTCTGCACTGTCGAGATTAAGCATTTTCGCCTGCAGGCTTCTGCAGCAGCAACTTCCTGATGTGGAAATATTAACTATGCTTGTTCCTTTAACTACGCCCCCACCCACCTCACCCCCACCCCGCGACAGCCCTTCAATACAGAGAGGGAGAGAAGGATATTACGTGGAACACTCATTGTCCAACACTCATTGCCAGCGAAAAGGAGGAATCCGGATAAAGTTAGCAGCAGCGCAATTAAACTAATTAGCCGGTGAATGGCGCGGTGGTTGAGAGCATGAGCTGCGATGTCTCTGGCTGAAACTCCAGCTCAGTCGAAGCGAGGTGGTCTCGGGCAAGCCGCATTCGCCCTCCCCTTTCAGGGTCCTCTCTGTGCGATATGGGGAGCGGCAACAGCACTAGCCTACCATGCAGGGCTGTCAGAATCATAGAATCAGGTAACTGTGGAGTTGCAAGGGATCCTGAGGGTCAGCTAGTCCAAGAAATCTCAACACGCGATTCCCCATCCAGTTTGAAACCATACCTGACGCTGCTTAGCTTTGCAAATGTGCTAGCAGTTTTATTGCTCCGATCGCTGAGATAATGCCCAAAGGGGTGGCTAAAACGTGGAAGAGATCCGTGGCACTTTCAGAACCTAAAACAGTTTCTTATGGTATACAAGCCCCCTGATCTCGTGGGCCATGCTGCCTCGGGCTTATTGCAGATGTAGTCCAGAAACATCTGGAGGGGATCATTCGGCTGCCCCCTGAGTTTTTCAGGACTGGGACCTCTCTCTAGGAGCGCTGCTTTTGTCTGTTTTGGAGCACGTTTGGCAAAAGCAGTTTCAAATGTAGTGTATATTCCTGCTTCTAAACAAGCACATCCACGCCCGCCCCCCTCAATATCTCTGTCTCTCTCTCTCTCTCTCTCTCTCTCTCACACACACACACACACACACACACACAGCATACTGATAAGTGCAGTTCCAGCCGAAGTATGTTCAGTATGATGTTTCGGTCTATGGACCCGTGTGTCGGCGGGCATGCTATCAATGGTTACGTGGAGACTGAGACCTGGGTGCAAATCCCATTGCAGCTTGGGTGGCCTGGAGCACTCACTCCGCCTTGTTCCCCATATGTCAAAATAGAAATAACAGTCCCCTACCCTTCTTGACTGGAGATGAGCATTACAAGCCTGGAAAGCTCATCGCCAGTGTCCGAAGAAGGCCTCGCCCATGAGTTGCTAGCAGGTGCGCAGAGGCTGCCTGTATGTAGGAAGTGCAACAAGGCGCAACTGCACGTGGGTGGATGCGCTCAGCATGAGATCTATATATACAGTACCGCCTCTTTCTATGGGAAAATAGCAGGGTGGGAATTAATCCTCTGCTACTCAGAGGTCTGGCACTGGGCAAAGGGGTCGCCAAGCTTTGTTTTTCCCGTTTTTTCTGGTCGCTTTTGCTCAGAGAATTGACCTCGAGAATGATGTCCCTACCTATCCAGATGCAACGAGGAAGCGTGGGGAGGAACCACTGCTAGGCTCCTAAAAGTGGAGAGGAAGACTGGAGAAAGGGAGAAGAGAAAGAGAAGGCGAGGGGCTGACTGATGCCCTGCGCGCCTTTTCTGCTTGTTGATATTCTGGGGACATTCTCGCTTCGGTGACCGCTGCCTCTTGAGCCTCTCCTCTCTCCTCGGGGAAATCCCTGGCTTTTCTCAACTCTCAGCTGTGCTTCCCCCACCTCCTTGGAACCCAGCGCCGGTCCTTTTCTCTCCCTATCTAATGCGGAGGGCGGAGGGGTTGGCCTGCTTGTCCACCCCACCCCCAGGCTGGCAGCGCCTCAGCGCGCTGGGCTGTGCAGCCTTGTGCGTCCCTTTGGCTTGCCTAGCGGAATCCTTAATGGCCAGCCTCGAGCTCCGAGGGGGCGGCCGAGAAACTCAGGGAACGGGGGGGGAGGGAGGAGCGGCGCTGCGCTTGCACCTGGCACTGCCAGTGGGAATCTTGCCCTTAGCTCGGGCGACAGCGAGCCAAAAGAAACGAACACCCACCCAGCGAGCGCACGAAGCCAACACGCACAAAACACCGCACAAAGGCGAGCGCTCCCCGAAGGCGAAGAGAGAGCGCTGGCCAGAAACGAAAACACACACACACACTCGGTGCAACGTCACATCCTCAGCACGCTTCCCCCTCCAGTCTACTTTCCCCAACAGGGCTTCTCTCACCAAGTCCTTCCCGGCAAAGCAGCATTTACGAGCCATAGTAATAACAAAAAGAGCGCACAGCCTAAACACAACATCAGCCCAATTGCACGCACAGGCTCCCCCTCCCCTGCAGTATGCAAAACCAGATCGCTTGGCAACTCTGTGGCTAGTAGAATGGTTGGCATCCGTCTCTCTCGGGGAGTGAAGTTGGGTGGCTGATATTATAATGGCCACATTTAGCACCGGGGGGCATAGCCGGGGGAGGGGCAGGGAGCAGCTGCCCCCATCAATACAAACCTGAGGTTCTGCCCCCCCTCCCACAAAAATCCTGGCTACGCTCATGCCGGAGGAGGCTACCTGTAACTAACCACGCACGTGAGTTAAACCAAAGTGCTGGAACTTTTACGATCGTTCTTTATCATTCGGCTCCGTCCATGCGCCTTTCAGAAATGTTCCCACCATTGTGATATAAAGCAGACATGCCACGGAGTCCTATAGGGGTCAACGCAGAAGTACGGACCCACTGAGTGCAATGGGGCTTTCTCCCGGCGAAAGAGCCTTGCAGAGCAATCCCACAGCTCGTTTACTCAGAATCAAGCCCCGCTGAGTTCGACGGGACTTACTTCCAAGTAAATATGCCTCGGATTGTCTCGAGGCTTTCAGCTGATCCGGAGTCAGGCAGCGCTCGCGTGGCTATTTCATTTTGCCGCTTGGATCTGTTTGGCGCGCGCTCCGGTTCTCAGCATCACCAGCAGCGCCTCCCTCGGACAGGCCGCCACAGAACACAACGCGCCAGGAAGGACGCACAGGCAGGGTGACACCGAAGAAATACTACACACACTCTCTCTCTCCTCACACGCACATACACACGTTGCCCATAACTCAAAGGGCATTCCCGGGACAGGCTTGGCGGGGAGGGGCACATATTGCGTCACAGACAGAGCTGCGATCACACCTGCTAAGTAACAGAGGCAGGGGAGAGAGTTTGCCAAGGCTCTGCGCTTTGTAGAAACAGCAGTTTGCTCACCTGCTGTTGTGGGCAGGGCAGGCGCCTTTTCCCTTTGGGGCTCAAGCCTCGGCCCGGGTGGGGTGATTGCTTTACAAAACAGGTGAAAGCGACGCTGCCGGGCACAGGCAGGCGAGCGATCATCTTCGCGATACCATGGCGGCGGCGGCGGCGGCGGCGGCGGCAGGCAGCCTCTGGCATGGAAACTTTAGGCAAAGGGCTCCTCCTGTCGCTTACAGCTGGAAATGGGCCAGCTGTCTGAATGCGCCTTTTCTCCCTCTCCTTCTAGGGCAGTTTTATGTTAGCATCGGCGCCGCGTCGAGGCGTGTGATGGCAAACAGATATGTTAATAATAAAGTTGCCCGCGCGTGAACACACGTGCGCTCATTGTGCAATCTAGACTGCGTCGCCAAGGTGGTGCTCTCCCGAATACAACTCCCATGAGCCAATGTGTCTGGGATGGTGGCAGCTGTAGTGCAACATCTGGAGAGATGCCGACTACTCCTTGATGCAGAGGCAACCCGGTGCCATTTCCATCCCTCTCCTATGCTTTTCTGTGTCATTTACTTAAGCCTTTTTATCCTGAAGAAGCACCACTTAGGGGTTTTAAAAGTCCCACGGACTTACTCCTAAAAGTGCTCTCAGACAGCAACCTGCATTAGGAAGCTTCTTGCAATGCATATTATTGTTATTATTATCATTGACTTTCTTCAGCAGGAACCCCCCCAACTACACAGCAAAGTGTAAGGAAGATGAAGAGGTGAAACTGGGTCTTCCCAGCCTCCTTCATGGTCATGGTGCCAGAGGTGCCACCTGCATGAGGTAATTGGGTCAAGTGCTATGACCCTCCTAGCAGAAATCTGGGTTAATCTCCAATCTCCAGATCAGATTTCTACTCACTTGACAGAAACAGATTAAATCACATCTGATCAGAAGCTTCTTAAGACTATCTTCCATCCCACAGCAAAATTTCAGCAGACCGCCCCTCGTTGCCCCTCCTCACCTTGAAAGCTCAGCACTCTCTTGCTACTCTCTGGCATACGTTGAGGTTTGGGGTCTGAAACTGCAAGAAGGAAACAGATGAAAAATATAAACACTATTGTGTGTTTACACCAAAGGCATTTTTACAGGGGTTAGAGGCAAAACCAATGAAGCCCGGATCGCTGGCATCTTCCTTGAACCTCCAGGCTTGCTTATTTCCTGGCCAGGAGCCAACAATTTTGTGATGAGAGGGCATAAAAGGTGAGGAATAGTTGCGTAACAGCTTGAGTGTACAGGTAAGATAATAAAGGAGCATAGGAAACTGCCTCGTACCTGGTCAATCACTCCATCTAGTGATTGTCCAGCCCACATTGACTGGCAAAGACTCTCCAGGACCTCAATCTTACATGGAGATGCCAGGGATTGAACCTGCGACCTTCTGCATGCAAAGCAGATGCTTATACCACTGGGCTACAACCCTTCCCCTTCAAATATATGTGCTAGTGTTGCATTACTTCTTATTGGCCAGGGCGCGATACTGCATACATACATTTCCTTATTCACTCACAAATAAAAGGGCTACATATTTACTTTTTTAAAAGAAAGCTGAACATTCTACCACAAAAGTGGACACAAGGCTCCCAAACCTTTAATAGCTGTAGCTTGTCATGCTGAGTTTCTCTCTTTTGCAAGATGCCTGCCCTCTTGTGCATATAGCTGGCCTTGTTCCCTATACCTAGGAAACAAGACTACACAGTCCCTTTGGGACTATGGGTCTACTAATTCCCCACCTGCTCAGCAGAGAGAAGTCACTACAGAACCAGTGTATGTTAGCTGGATATATGCTGTCATCATTGTGTCCTCTTGCACCAGTTTCAGACACAGCAATAAGTTATGGTTTAGGTAAAAAGGTAAAGGACCCATGGACGGTTAAGTCCAGTCAAAGGCAACTATGGGGTGTGGCGATCATCTCACTTCCAGGCCGAGGGAGCCAGCGTTTGTCCACAGACAGCTTTCCGGGTCATGTGGCCAGCATGACTAAACCGCTTCTGGCGCAACGGAACACAGTGAGGTAAGCCAGAGCGCAAACAAACGCCATTTACCTTCCCACCACAGTGGTACCTATTTATCTACTTGCACTGGCATGCTTTTGAACTGCTAGGTAGGCAGGAGCTGGGACAGAGCAACAGGAGCTCACCCCGTTGTGCGGATTCGAACTGCCAATGTGAGGAGATTGGAAAGTTTCACTTCAGCTTTAAAATTTATCTGAGTTCCATGTTGCATCTGAACTTGGGGAAACTCTGGCCAGTTTAAACAATCAGCTTAAACAATCATTAAACAATCAGTGAGTCAGGATCAAACCATGGTTTGTTCTCTTGGCTTGTTCACTAAGCCTAGCCTAACCAGAGTTCACATGTAACAAGAGAACTTAAAAGCTGAGGCCAGTTGTTTCTGAATTCTTCTTTGCAGTTACCCCAGAGGAGAAATAAGTTATATAAGTACTGTAGTTTAGTGATGTTGAAACTGGTCCATTGCTTGGTACAGCCTGATGCTCTTAATCTCAGGGCTGTGGGTTGGAGGCCCTTGTTGGGCAAAAGATTCCTGCATTGCAGGGGGTTGGACTAGATGACCCTGGTCGTCCCTTCCAATTGTACCATTCTATGACTTCCTATATACTAACTTCCATTCCTTGCTGTGTTGCACACAGAGTTAAAAGTTCCGGATCCTTCACAGCATGATGCCATCCCACACTCAAACCAGATTAACCAACTAGGCTAATGCTTTGGTTCTCAATATATTTACTTGGAAAAACAAACTAATGCACACCATGTTAATGGATAGTGCCCCTGCCCAGTGTGTGCAAAGGTTCAGTGCTTGTAGCAAACAAGATGATCCACTGACTGCAAGAGGCAGAAACCATGGGCACAAAAAAAGAGAGATATTGCTTCAAGGAGGAACTTCTATGTACACTCTCTTAGGCATAAAGAATTCAGTGGCTTACCGCTGAGTAAACATGCTTAGGCTTGCACTGTGCATCACATATACGTATTTCAATAGAATCACAATGGAAACAAATACCTGTTTAGGACTGGTTGAAACAGGGCAAGGGTAGTCAGGTTTACCATGCAAGACTCAAAATATATTATCATAAGAAGATTTTCCCCTCCCGAAACCTGCCAACTTCTCATTTTCTTCTAACATCAGCATACATTGCACCTGATTTGTCAGGAACAAATGAGGGGAAGGTGGCTGCCTTGCTGTGCTGCTGTTACATATTGATACACTTAGGAAATTATCACTTCTGCTGCAGGTTCTAATATCATTCAATATGATTTCATTTTCTAGTCTAGCTGAGGACTTGCCATCTTCACCCCCACCCATTTTTTTCCTTTTGACGCCCCATTTGCAAGTATTAACAGCTTCTGCAGATACACATCTGTAATCTAATTTACAGCTCATATAGCAAATACAAAAAGCTGGCATTTTATATCCCAACATGAAAATCCAAATAAATCAATGTCATGATACTTTTTTACATATTGATCAGATGGATGAGTCACTGTGGTTGAAAGTGACCAGTAGGCTCAGGTTTTGGTTTTAATATTGTGTACTCTTGAAATCTAACTTGAGTCTTCATAAATACTAGGGTATGGGATGGCTTTAAGCCTATCCACACTCATTTCGGAGTAATCCTTATGGAACTCTGGAAGATTTACCTCTGAATTATGGTCTGTGTTTATGAACAGGATTCTGGTCCTGTATTCATGTGAGAGCACTTAATAATATTATCCAGAGGACTCTGGAATTTTTGTCCTTTAAAATTCATCTCTGAGAGATGAACTGATCTTCTTTGCTTCCAAAATCCAAGTTAGAATCACAGAATCATAGCGTTGAAAGGGACCCCCAAGGGTCATCTAGTCCAACCCCCTGCAGTAGGAATCTCAACTAAACCATCCATGACAGATGGCCATCCAACCTCTGCTTTAAAACCTCCATTGAAGGAGAATCCACCACCTTCCAAAAGGGAGTCTGTTTCACAGTAGAACGGTTCTTAAGTTGCTTCCTTGCTTTGAATTCATTCTCTCAGACATTGAGACTGACCTGGGTTAGGGATAGGAAAAGACGAACCTGTCCATTTTGGTTTCTCATAGTTTCTCATTCTTCCAATGAAAAATGAGGATGATGTTTAGTCCTCCACATTTCTGCATCTGTTTGCGTCTCTCTCTCTCTCTTTATTAGTCCTCATGAAAATTTGTCAGCATTTTGGTGCATAGTTCTCCTAATACAGACATTTTTGTCTGCAATTGTGCCCAACACACACACACACACACACATTTTTGCTAGAAATTCCCACTGTATAATGCATGATTGTATTTCATTTTCACCAATATTTGCATTTTTATGCAGCCTTTCTCCAATACTGTATATGCATCTATTCATTTTTGCATGATTTATTTGGGGAGAGACCTGCATTGCAAAATTCAAAGAAGTACAAACTTTGAAAAATTGGACAGGTTCACATCAAAATGCAGCCCAAACCAAATTTCTCTCCCATCTTTAGTTAGGTAACAACTAGATTGCATGTTCCTTCTTCCCAGCATCCCTTGGTGCAATGTGAAACCTGCATAACATCTAACAGAGCCTCATTTGAACTTCTGCTACTTCCTCCCCTATTCCATCTTGGAACCATGACCAGATGCAGCTCCCATGACTTTGCCATTTGCTACCTTTTCCTCTCCCTGTCCTGGCTTTGCCTACCACCTAGCCGGTGGTGGAGCAACGGATATGTCCAATAAGCTACATTCAAGCCATGCAAAAATCAGAGGTTTCTTCTCTCTCTCTTTCCATCCAGCAACTTAGAGACATTGTCACAGTTCAAGGACACAATCCAGCCAAGCAAGAGCACTCAAGGAGAATGTGGAGCAGGTAGGTGTAGCCTGGGGGGGAGGGGGAGAGAGAGTTCTGACGACCAGTCAGAGAAGACTTGAGGGCCATATCTGACCCCTGGTCCTGAGGTTCCCTCAGCCTGATGAAGAGTTCTGGAGAACTCAAAAGCTTTCGCACTATTTTGTGGTATTTTGAGTGGCCCAAGGATGGATCTTGATATGGCTACAGAATTGAATATAGCTGGTTCTTCTTCCTGCTTTTCTGAATCATCTGTGGAAGAGTTGCACCTTCATATGTAGCAAGCCCCCTATCCACAGACAATGCTGTTGAGTAAAACAGCAAGTTTACGAGTAATCAAGTGGCAGTATGTCCTTGGAATACCAGCTACTGGGATTCACAAGTGGGGAGAGCGCTGTTGCACTCAGGTACTGGTTGTGGTGGGTTTCCCAGAGGCATCTGGTTGGCCACTGTGAGAACAGGATGCTAGACTAGATGGGCCATTCAGCAAGGCTCTTCTTATGGTCTCTCTTCACCTTGTTCTTGAGTCTAGATTGGGAATCTGAGTGCAATTACAGTGGTACCTCAGGTTATGAACTTAATTCGTTCCAGAGGTCTGTTCTTAACCCGAAACTGTTCTTAACCTGAGGCACGCTTTCGCTAATGGGGCCTCCTGCTGCCGCCGTGCCGCCGGCACACGAATTCCGTTCTCATCCTGAGGCAAAGTTTGTAATCCGAGATACTACTTCCAGGTTAGTGGAGTTTGTAACCCAAAGTGTTTGCAACCTGAGGTGTTTGTAACACGAGGTACCACTGTACCCTTAGGGTTCATACTTTCTTATTAATTTGGCCAAGGAGGAAGTTGAGAAGAAGTTGATAGGCATCTATGGCCATAAAATCATGGAGAGGATAGAAAAGCAAACATAAGCAATTAAATAAATTAGACACATTATTAACAGTGTTAGAATTTTTTGCACATCTTTTTCCTGTTGGAGCACATGATTTACACATTCATCAAATTATGTTGCCAGAGGGCAGGGTGTCTATAATATCTCTAGATACAGGAAGTGTTTGCTTATATCATTGGAGCAAGCCAAGAAGGAACACTAGCAGTGCTCCTGTGAAAAGAGAAATGGGTTCTTTCTAAAAGGACTGGAATTCTAGTCCTGTCTTTGCTTTAAAAAATCCTGGACCAACTTGGTCAGTCTGATGACTGGGGAAAGGGAGATTTCATCCCCATCAGGATGTTGGACTGAGAGTTCAAACTTCTCTGCATCTGTTCTTTTTCTTTTTCTTTTTGCCACTGCCACCACAATTTGTGGCCTGCAACAGGGGAGATAAAATTGCTTGAGTTCCTTGACCCACCACCAGAGCTAGAAGCTAGTCACTCCTGGCACACCATTTAGATATACAGTGGTACCTCTGGTTAAGAACTTAATTTGTTCTGGAGGTCCATTCTTAACCTGAAACTGTTCTTAACCTGAAGCACCACTTTAGCTAATGGGGCCTCCCACTGCCGCCACAAAATTTCTGTTCTCATCCTGAAGCAAAGTTCTTAACCCAAGGTACTGTTTCTGGGTTAGCAGAGTCTGTAAC